GCAGTGTCCCATCAGAAGGAATCTGCCCAACTAGCGGAGGACCTCGATTTTAAGGTAGATTTTGTAAGAGGCCTATATGGGGTTGCTGGAGAGGAGAGTCTGGCTAATTGTTGAACCTCGGCTTCAGAAGGAACAGTGTGGTTTTGTCCTGACCTTGGAAAACTGGACCAGCTCTATATCCTCTGCAGGGTTCATAGGAGTGTGCCTAACTGGTCCACATGTGCTTTTTGGACCTGGAGAAGACATGGTGTTGTAACGAGGATGTCTTTTGAGGGGGGGACTCCAGGTGTGCAGAGTCGGGGACCCTTTATTAGGAGCCATACGGTCTCTGTCACCGTTCCTTTTGATAGCTTAATGGACAGGATTTCTAGGCAGCTACAGTCAGAAGGGGTTTGGTTTGGTAACAAGCAAACTTCCCTGCTTTTTGCAGATGACATGGCGTTCTGAAGAACGCCATGTCATTAGAAGACCTAGAGTGTGCCCTCAGGTGGTTCGCAGACAGGTGTAAGGGCCCTTGATAATAGTAAGCACCTCCAAGGTCATGATCATAACCAGAAAAAGGTGACTTGCCCCTTCAAATTGGAAGGGAGTTCCTGCCTTAAGTGGTGGAGTTCAAGTGTCTTAGGATCCTGTTCAGGAGTGAAGCCAGAATGGAGTGAGAAATCGATAGATTGATCAGGGCAGCTGTAAGTATAATGCACAGGCTACACCGGCCTGTTGTGGTGAAGTGAATAGAAAAAGCTATGGTTCTTCCCTCACTTATTGTCATGAAGTCTTGATCATGGCTGAAAGAAAAAGATTGTGGATATAAGCAGCTGGAATTAGCTTTCTCTGCAGGGTACTGTAGCTGGGAAGTCCCTTAGAGATATAGGGTGAGGAGCTTGGTCATCTGGAGTAGACCTGCTGCTCCTCCATATCCAGAGTCACCTGATATATTTTCATGATGGCTTCTGGTTACCTCCCTCAGGAGTGTCCCGCACACATTGCTGCCCTCTCTCTGCAACATTCTCAGACAACTCTAATTTGCATTATTTCCTGTTCATCTTTAAACATGTTGTTCTATCTCTGCTTCCCTCTCTTCATAGTAGCCACCTGCAGCCTGGTGTTGTGTTTAGCTGTGATGCTTCATGGTCTGGGCTGCTGCTGCTAACCCATTCATGTTCCTTATAGATGATCCACTTTGGTCCCA